GTAAAAATAGGTTCCATCCAGGATTAATGCAACATTGTCTCCAAAAAATGTTTTCGTGTAGGGTGTTTGATGTTTTAGGGCTTCTGATCGACTTAAATGTTGCACACCATGATATTTTGGTACAAAATTTCGAATTAAGGCTTGTTGAACTGCCGCGCAAGCCTCTGACACACGTTTCCTTTGATCAGTTAATGGTGCTTTGTAATTCATTAACGTTCCTATTTGATCGTAGGAAAGATTGGTTCGAAGTTTTAACCAAAATATAATGACAGCTAATTCTGAAGATCTGTTAGGACTTTGTCCAAAACTTTTGGGTACCGAATTAGTCATAATACCTAACTCTTCTCTGCCCCAACCAGTCCACATATAAAACTCTTCCTCTGACATTTTCAGATCTTCAAAATCAAGATGAGGTCGATTTTTCTCCTACGAAAAAGGAGAAAAACTCTTAGAACAGGACTAATACCGAACGAAAAATAATCTCGAATTTTGCTGAACACATTTCGAAGCGTGTCGAAACGAGCGCTTGAAATCGAAGTCCGAGTTTTACCTCCAGAGCATCCGTGGATCAAGGGCACATGTGAAATGCTGGCAAATGTCTATGAACGTGTCGGAAATCGAAAAGCCGCCATTAAATATTACAAAGAGCCAATAGCAATGGCACGCGCGTGTCTGGCGGTGGGCAACAGTGCATCATCCCCCCGAGCTAAAAAGAAGCAATAGACGCTAATTTGTTGATGAGGAAAAGCGTAATCTAAACTCTAACCGAGAGCAGTTTTTCTTCATTGCGACCGCGATATATGGCTTTTTGTACTAGATGGAGCAAGGGAGTCTTCTATGGGGTTTTGCGTAAAATACTGGAAAAGGCAAATATTGTTTTCGAATGCTGAACTTCTTACGTCCTAGCGAAATTTTTGTCTCTTTCTTTCGATTAAGTATTTTCGAAATGTCTCAATGGAGATCGATAAAGGAAGAATTCAGCATCAACATCGATCATGGACGCTGCGCGTTTTCAGACCATTATAATATCGTGTAAGTTAGAGAAAATTTTCGGGGAATACTTTTAATAAAACCAACTTCTATGTAGTCCTTGTTCCATCTAGTATTGAGAACGCAGAACAGTTTTGACATTTTAATAAGTAAACCAAGCTTGAATAAAATAAAGTCTAAAATAAATGTTGTTAAACTAATAGTAATCGTAACGATAAGAAAATAATATAATAGAATTAATGCATATGATGTTCCACAAAGAAATGATTAAAAAATGATATTTTTTGGAATCAACTACATTTGATTAATGCCACTTAGATACATTGATTTTCAGAACAAGACTGATCGTTAAATGAGAAACATATTTGTTTTACGTTTTGAAACCAACCCGGATGAAAAAAATGTTAGCCTTTAATTCGCTAAATTTGAGGAGTTATGATATTTTTAGTGTAACTGTGACATCTGGAGCATGGAAACAGAACACGATTCATAACTTTTGAAAGAAGACCCCCGGGCACCTATCCTTTCAGGCTTTTTACCAGGACACTATCTTCTATCCATTGTCATATATCCGCCTGGACAAAATAGCTGCCGTCGTGTTTTTGAATTTATTGTGAATATACAAATACATTTTAGAAAAGTAATTATATATTTTGGTAGCGCTTGAAATTCTCTATTGGTCTCTGCTTTCCCAGCCTGGATTCGAAATTATTTGCTAACAAAAATTTTGAATATTGTTAATACATCCCACCTGTCATATTCCCAGGAATTGTAACGAGTGTGGCCTTTCAGTATTTTCTATTTTTCTCGTGTTTCTATAGGACTCAAAGACTGATGTTTTTCTTACAAAGATGCGCCGCGAAATACTCTACAGAACGATACCTAAACTTTGATTTCAGAACGTCAATCAAGAAAACTACGCAGATTATACGAAAGACGAAAAACATGAAAACTTTGAAAATCTGGTATTTGTCTCCACTTGAATCTTTTTCTTGTGCTATTATTTCCGTAAAAAAGGGTTACAAAAGCGAGAACTCACGTCAGTTCTTTTTGTACTTTTGAATGTGCTCTTTCTTGTTGTCTGTAAAAAAGGAAGAGTTAGTTGAAGAAGCATGGAATGCAATCCATGGGAATGTGATACGTGGGTACATTAACAATATTCGAAATATTTGTCAGCAAATAATTGCAAGTCAAGGCCGGTAAAGTACAGGATGGTAGAGAATTTCAAAGGCTATCAGAATATATAATTCCTTTTGTAAAAAGTTATTTCTATATTCATAATAAATTTGAAAAAACTTTGAAAAAGGAATAAAAAATGCAGTTCGTGGGAATCTGACGATGAGGGCGCCTTCATTGTACTCAAAATATTTTTCAGTAAATAAGCGCACGTCAAGACATAAATATACAGGATGATAGAGAATTCCGAGTGCTACCAGAATATATAATTATTTTTCTGAAAATGTATTTTTATAGTGATGATATGTTAAAAAAGTTGACTGCAGCTATTTTTTTCCATTAAAATTGGAGGGTCATATGCAAAAACGTTCCCTCGTAAGTCATAAAAATCGTAAAAAAGCTTATCAGCGCAGACCTTGGGTCTAAAGTGTAACTCCTTCGTTCAAACGTGAAGGATTAAGGTGGGGCTGTATGAAACCTATGTCCCGAGTGTGTACATTTACATTACGTTTAAGCCATCGATTAATATACCATTACTCGCTCAAATCTGTCCGCGTTAGCTTATTCACGTTAGCTTACAATGTATATTCAGTATTGTCCATGGATCGCGTACGTCTGCAGTGGTAAATTTTGAGACTGTTCAATTCCTTCTGGTGATCTCAAAATATTTTTTAGAAAGCGATCTGACGTTCCCTAAATCTGTGAAGACAGCACGTTACTCTATCGACCAACTACTTTTACTTTTTTTTCAAGGCATCTGCAACAGAAATGTTTACCATCTACCTGTGGCTTGTCCTGCCAGTGGTATGCTCGCAGTTTACTTCAAATGTAAGCGAATTTACTGCTTACAGACCGAAAATAGCTATAAATAACGTCATGATTGTTGAAGTTTACAATGATCGTCATCAATTTGGCGTAGAATTTGCATACGCTGCTGGATTCACGTGTATTTCGAATTTCACGAATTCGTCTTACATTTATTCTGTAGCACTTGGAAAATACGCGAATGTGACATCATTTGCTTACATTGATAAGAACAAAGACACCAAAGCACTATTTATCAGTTCGACGACCGTGTTAGACAATTGTACGTTCAGTCCACCCAATATCTTCTCATTCAATTCCTTGCATCCGGACCATTACCCGTTCGCCGTAGATCCGACCGGCTAATTTCTGTTTGGCTTTTCAAATGATTTTATTTTGGTATGGGAGCCAGAACACCAACTCGTCGAAAAATGGCCAAGTAATGTAACGTATGCACAACAGACATTTGTACCGTACGCAGTTGATATTAGCCAAGATTTTGCTTTAGTAATGGGCTCTGCTGGACTCACAGGATCCGTTGCCTATTTGCTGCATTTCAATTCTTGCAATATCATCACAAGCAGTTTTGAGGCGTGTATGACAGTTGTGGATACTTATGTATATAATACTTCAGTAGCCGGCGCCAGTAATATGTCGGTGAAAATTAATGATGCTGGTTATCTGTTGTAGAGCATCGGATCAATGAATAAAGTCATTCTGATGAGTGTAGTCAATGTTTCATTGTATGTAATAAACACTATTGACAACATTGATGAGGTAAAAGCAGTTGCGCGGATGACAAGTACTACATGTGCTCTTTTACTGTCATCCCAGATTCGATTTTATTAAATAACCGCATTTTGAAACTACTGTATGAACATATTCAAAGTATTCTACGTCGTATGTATGTAAATATGGACAAAATCAGCAATGTGAAAAAGAAGTGTTTTCTAAAAAAATGCATAATATCTTAATAAGATATGACAGATGTTCAGTCTATGCATCTCAAGTGCGTTCTTCCATTTAAATCGAGTGCATTTTTAGTGCAAGTAGTAAGGCATACCCGTGGATATGAGGCCTCTCAAATGCATAAAACCGGAGTCTGGTCCCAGTTTGAAGTTACACTTGAGTGATTTTTGCATGCACAGTATAGTTACTACTATAGTAGTAAACGCTTGCTAGTAGGTATAAATCTTTGTTATTCCTAAGATCTCAAGTTGTTAGAGATGGGCAAGTCTAAGTCATAACTGAGACTGAGTCACGACTGATGGTTTTTTTTTCGAGACTGAGACTTGACTGAGACTGATAGCTTCGTGACTAAGACTCGACTGAGACTGAAAAAGTTGTGACTTGTCCATCTCTGAGTTTTGTCTAAATGAAACGGATAGTATACGACTAAACAAAGCCTAAATTTATCAGAAATAGATAAAGATCACTGATGTTACTTTATCCCGACAATACATACAAAACAAAATACATCTGAGATAAAGATCAAAAGCATATAAAAATGACCACTATTTCAGACAACGTGCATTTTCTATCTGTCTTAACATGTGTATTAGTAACACAATAAGAAGTCTAAGTGTCTAGCTATTATGTTGGTGTACTTTTGATGACTTGCATCCAATTGATCAATTCGAGGTGACTATACATCTTGATGGAACTAGTGCCTCGGAACTAACTGCTTTTTTGACGGTGTCCGATCGAATTATTGCAGCCAAAGAATACAACAATCAAGAGATGAGTTTCCAAGACATATAGATGTTTAACTGGTATCTAAAATTAAAAAGAATAATTATAAATACACCTCGAATAACTACATTATGCACGACAGATGAATTTTTTAATCATCATGATGTCTTATCAGGGCATTGTTTTATTTGCAGTGTGAGGAGAAAACGCAGACATTTTGAAAAATTCTTTGAGAAAACTATGATATTCAGTTTTTTCAGAATGACTCTTGAATAGTGTTAAAACACAATTATCTTATTGACCAATAATGACCATAACTCCTGTTTTTCAGAAACCTGCTTGCGAGAGGGTTAAAAGTGTTTCAAGAAAAGAGCGTTGTTTTCAAGTCGCAATGCTCTAGTTTCATGAAAATCTGAGCCGTTATCGTTTTTGTATTCTCAAGTAAGACGCGAAGTAGCCATGGTTGCCAACCGTTGAGAATAAGTATTTATTCATAATTGAATGTATTCGTCTTTTCCTCGTTCGGGGAATCACAGAGCTCTTGCTTTATGTCCTCGTATATTTAAGCTTGCTTGATCACGCCACATGAATAGAAGAATTTCTTTTGGTGCATTTCTTAGGTAATCACGTTATACAAGAACAGCTCTGTCTTTGACGATATGTTATTGCAAAATGTGTTCAGTCTGAGCTTTTCCCGACATTGTCTTCACGTATCGCCATTGTTTTGGACCCTATTAATAATCGCTTGTGCTCTGTTAATGCTCACTGTCATGGGCGTATCTAAGTTTTTCGTGCAGTGCACAGATGTTCGACAAACAATTAAATACGTGTTTAAACAGACTGATCTAATTAGTGAAGGCGAATTGTGGATAGGCGGAATAGTGTCTTTTTCGGTTCTAGTTCTGGTATCATTCGCATACGCTTTCAGCGCACTTAACTTAAACAAAAATCCCATCGAAACGTAGGGAGATTCGGTATTTGCTTGCAATACAAATTTGCACAATTCTCAATTCTCGACTCAAATGCAATTGTTGGGCATTCCATTGAGCGATGAAATTCAACCATTGTTCGACATGTTCGACGAACAATCATACATGCTTAACGTCGATTTTGTCAACACGTATTTTCACTGTAGTGATCTGATCATTCAGTAAACAGTCGGCACTGTTGTCAGTGTGATTCCGTCTCAAAATTGTTCTCATAATGCAGCCATACTATCCGTCGCTGTTTTACTTTCTCAGCATACAATCGCCATTCAACTGAGTTTGAATGGCACATGAACGATCGGTGGTATTCGTGTCGGACTCTCAGGGCCAACAGTGAGTAATGAGGAGTATACAGTGCAACAGTTGGATTTTATGCAAGGTTATATGGTACAAAATCGAGCATTATCACAAAACCCGAGCCTTCAGTTACAACTTATCCGACTTATCCGGCCACGGAGCCCCTAAGCGACGGTAACAAAACAATATTCAGCGCACTGTGGATTCCAACATTTTCTTATGTTTCTGACCAGCTGTTCTTCACCGAAGCACAATACTTGGGTAATACACGCGTTCAAACATTGTTAACTGTTTCACTCAATGAAAAAGCGTATTATGTAATCAACACCCAGTCGCCTATCGCTAAACAAGCCGAAGTTATATTTCACAGTATCTTATTTACCATCGTTTGTCTCGAACTATTTGGTCTAATGTTTGCCATATTCAAACTAGTATTTGTACCGCTGTTCGAATTTATAGTGGGCAAGTTTCAAAGCATTGATGTCCCGTACGAATTAACTCCGATGTAAAAAAGATCAGCGGCATAAAGAAGACTCGCTCACTTGCAACATTTTTTCTTTTATTCTACTTAGCTTTGAATGTGGAGTCTTCAAGATTGAACAGTTTTTGTCATCAATATCTTTTGCAATCGCTTCTTTTGCAAACTTCTGTCGGAGGTTATACAATACGATACACAACTAATCTTGGCATTAGATTCAAATACAACAAGAGCAACTACAAGTGATCCGTTTTCGCTGCTGTTGCATCCTCTCAAACTAAAACCCAGTTAATTTCGAGATAAACACATAGTATGGTGTTTCAAAGTGTCTGCTTAAGAATGAACTGTACTTTATGCTTAATATGATTGAATTTTACAGTTTTTTCTCAAAAGTTTAAAAAGAAAGACTTTTTAATGGGGAAAAATGATTTTTCCTGCATTTAAACTAATATTAAAAAGAAAAATATTAAACGACTGATATTAAAAATCAACTAAATATTTTTCCACCTTATTTGAATATTAGTCCGTTCAATATTTTTCTTTATTTGAATATTTTTCCTTTATTTTAAAATAATTAAATATTTTTTTTATCTCATACTGAATGAAGGAAGCAATATCGCAGTTTGAACCTACCGAGAAGATACGAATATGCGGGCGGGACTGTCCCGCCCGCATATTCGTATCTTCTCGGTAGGTTCAAACTGCGACATTACTTCCTTCGTCCGGAAGTAGCTTCTAATTGACACTTTCAAAAAGTGGCATTAGCTTCTTACTGACACTTTCGAACGTGGCAATAGCATCTTGTTGACACTTCTGTAAGTGTCAATAGCAAACAGCCTAGTCAGCTGTGTGAAACTAACTATGCTAACTTGATCGAAGCAGACCATTTTTGCACCTTATTAAATATTTTTCTATCTGAATAAAACAATTTAATATTTTTCTATAGGCGAAAAACTTTAATATTTTTCTATCTTACAACAATAAAAATATTCATTAGTTCCGATAGAAAAATATTTAATTGATTTTTAGTATTAGTTGTTTAATATTTTTCTTTTTAACATTTTTCGGCATACCCTTTGTAACACCAACTTGGCCTTTATGTGATGAACAGTTATGTCCTTGGTTACAATTTCCATGCGGTAATGGACAATATTTGAGACAACTGTTACGAGATGATTGTTCTAACGGCCGAGATCTGTTGCATATGAGAAATCTTTTCATTCACACTAATTTAACTTATTCATGTTGATGCTTCTTGTATGTGCAACATTCAATGATATAATGTATGATATTAATTGCACTAATCATGTATGTGATACTTTAACATAAACATCATAAACAACGATGTGATCTCGATTCTTTTACAATAAAAATAGAAGAATATGACTTTAAAAAAGTTGATAATACATGGACCACATTTATTACATATTCTAATATATCCTTTGTATGGTGAATTTCTATATATGTGTGAAATCCTTAATAATGTGTTTAGAAAATGTTCATATTCATTCAATGATCAATTATTATCGACGAATAATAACTCATCATTGTTATTTCATTGTCAAGGTTCATCTAAATATATGTCGATCCATCGTCTATTTGAGCCATTACAACAGTGTACAAGACATAATTATATAGTGACTCCTTACAATAAGTGTATTATTAGTGTGCCATATTTATTTAAATGTGCTGATGGTCAACAATGTATATTACGCGTTTTTGTTAATGATGGTTATAAAAACTATGATGATTCATCGGACAAATCATCATCAACGCTACAATGTACAAAATCAAGATTTGGTATTGATCCAGTACAGGGTGCGTAAAAATGTTTTTCCAGGGGGCTAACGCTATAATTGCGAATAGGGTAAGTAATGAATTTTATACCAGATGAAAGCCCGTCGAAAACGGGATTTATTGATGCTAAATAGTAAGTTTTATCAAAGCATTTTAGTGTC